AGTTTATAATTATCTTATATTTAAGACAATTTGAATACTAGGTTGAATTTAGGTTGGGTAGATAAATTATTATAACTCGGGTTAGGGAAAAATCGACTTAATCAAATAGACATTTCATTCATATTTCAGTTATTTATAAACACTATATAAGAATCAGTAGGTATGAGGTTTTTATTCTAGAATGACCTTAATGTTTCTATTGGAATACTATTTTTCTCCGTTTGTTAGAACATGGAGGATTGGGCGGCCATTAGGGACTGCATGGGAATGGTTGTTATTTAATGGCGTAAACTTTGTTTGTCATTAACAATTGTAAAATATGATAAATTTATATTTCTACGTAGCGTCATAAAATGTTACCATACTAATATTTTCTTAGAATGAGTACTGTATTACATAACAAATTAAACGATATTGCATTCTTTTAAAAGTTTTTTTTTTAAATGGTGATGAGTTCTTAAGAAAAAAAAATCGGCGTTTTTATTCAAATGGCTAAGTGCAATTTCTATTTTCAGAATGCATCTGGCAGATATGAGAATACCTCATTTTTAAAGGATTTTTATGAGTTTGAAGTTTGAAGTTTGAACTATTCTTGTGTTGTTTATAGCTTTCTTTCATTTTAGACGTATAGTTAAATTTCATAACTTCGTATAAATTCAAAAGGATATCACGGTTTAGCCGGTGACTTTTACTAATACTATTTCAAAGCATTAATTGATAATATCATAATAGTATCATAGAAAAACAAATTCGCCATTATAAAAATTATTGAGAAATTTAAAAAATGTCATTTTTCAAATGTCATTTTTCAAAAATGCCATTTTTCAAATGCCACTTTTCAAAAATTCCACATTTTCAAAATCTTTGCAAAAATGCCATCTTTTCAAAATTATTGAGAAATTTAAAAAATACCATTTTTCAAGTGTTATTTTACAAAAATGCTACATTTTTCAAATCTTTACAAAAATGTTATTTTTTCAAAATTATTTTTTTATATTATTTATATTTGAGTTAATTATGATCTATTATGATTTAGTTACGAGGGTTTAGAGGGGTTTAGGGATCAAAATATTTTTTAATGTTTAAAATTTTAAAATATAGTGTTTAAAAATCTATAATTAGTAGTATTTTTTTGTAAATGAACACTTCTAAATAATATTTTTATAAATATAGACATAAAAAATGGTATTTCGTAAGAGGAAATGGTCAACCATCTTGACAAGACAAGCTAAATAGGCATCGACAAGGAGTATGATATAACCTTTCACGATTATAATAAAATAAAAGTTATCACAAAAATCAATCAAATTGTATTGAATAATGTGAAACAGAC